GAAGAAACCCCCCCCCCCTCAAAATTGAGTTTTCTACGTGACTTGCAAGAGAATTAAAAAAAAAAACACAATGTAGAATGCCCAAAATGCCCCTCCATGAAATCTGGTCATGGAGGTCCTAAAAGCTGCTAAATTGAAAAACTGAGAGCTGAACTTCGTAAGCGATTTTTGATATCAAGACGACATTTTCTAGAAAAACACGGAAAAGAAACCCCCTCTAAAATCATGTTTTATATTCAACATGTTGAAAGAAGAAATAAAACCACCGTAAAAATTCTATAATGCACCTAGATCAGAATATGCAAAAAAAATTCGAAATGAATTCACAAAAGGCTCAAAACACAAACGATAAGGTTTTACCCAGAAACGACCATGCACGCAAACGTAACTTACCTATTTGGACGTGCTACAATGGTCCACGACTTAAAAATACTACCGATACAAAATCCGACCCCCCAACGGGCAAAAAGGCAAAAATGGAACTTGGAATGAAAACTCAGAATCCAAAAATACAAAACGGGATCAAATAACCGTTTGGCCCTTGGCCACACTTCAAACATGATTTATGAGACCCTATGAAAGAATGAGAATGGAATTCCCACACCCGATGCAACCATGGTGAAGCAATGACTTGCGATTTTTCAAGATTTTCACAATATTTCATGAAGTTAAAAAGTACATAGGATACAATATAATGGTCATTGGCCTCCGGCCTCATCTCATACATATCAAATACATTGAAAGGAGTGTACTTAAGTACACATTACATACATGGAATCAAATATACATATTTTGACATATAAGTCTACAAAATGACATTTCATGCTAACATTTGCATGAAATGGAAACTTGAAAGCTACACAACATCCAAGGATTGCTAGGCGTCATGAACCAAGTCTTCGTACCTGAAATATGCCCCACTATCGTAGGGGTGAGTAACATAAAGATACTCGTAGGAGATGAGCATGCATCGACCTAGCATTTTACAAATTTATCACCTTAAGGTGAACCATGTTAAAGGGGTTCATGCCACCTAACGTCTATATCGAAATGAGACTTAGGGAGTATCCTAAGCTACCTTAGAGTGTTTCTAGAATAAATCACATCATCTATGCCATTTCAACAATATGGAAGCACGTTATACAAAGCAACAAGATATAGGTTCTTAAAGGTATTAACTTGCAATCTTGAATACAGAAACAACTAAAGTGCTCATGTCACCTAACGTCTATGTTCTGAATAAGTCTAAGAAATCATCCTAGGCCATGCTGAACAATCAAAACGCGATTTACAACTTCAATGCAATCTAACCACATAAAAGCATATTATACAAGGCAACAAAATACAATTTCTTAAAGCTATCAGCTTGAAATCTAAAGCACGAAAACAACAGAAGTGGGTCATGCCACCTAACGTCTAAGTTATAAATGAATCAATAGGATCAATCCTAAGCTTTGTTAGAACGTCAAAACACAATTTTCAATATCGATGCAATTTAACCAACAGTGGAACTTCCAATACAACGCATAAAGCACAATTTCGCAAAGTTAACATCATATAACTTAAAATGGAACGACAAATAAGAAACAACAAGTTACAACATCATCTAGTTATCAACTTGAAAATGAAATACGAAATCAAACAAAGTGGATACTCGGACGTCACGCCGAATCAGACCGACAACATAGTTACTTTAGGGTTACTAGCCCATGGATAACCTCCCTATGTGCGCACTAGACTACATATAGAGGAACTATCCCCCGTACTAGAACCACGTCCTAGCCATAGTTAAACAACGACATCCCTAAGTTTCCAAAATCAACAAGTTGTGCAACAACGTATATATCAACAGGAATATGCAAGATAATCAACTATCTACTAAGCACAACCAAATTTGGAAACCTATACAATACATGCTCTAAATCCACAACTTTTGATCGATAATGATGATGGTTGTTTTGGGGATCAGTCGTAGTGATCGATTTGGCTGTCTAATTGTATGGCTAGAGTTGTCATTTTCTTTGAGTTCTCCTTGCGCGATGACACTTTTGGGGTCAAGTCGATTGATAGATGCTTCGGGTAGAGAGAGCATTACATTGTTAGTGTCACTTGTAGTGTCACCCTTAGATTCAGAGATGGATTGTAAGAGTCTTACCATTGTGGTAAGGGCTCATGTTTGTTTTGAGACAAGTTATTGTTGCATTGGTTTTTGGAGTCAGTGTATGGCTAGGACTGGTCCTTTCTTTTTACCTAGGCACTCTAGGATACGATGTCCATAGGGTTCATGGTTGCATCATTTTTGTTTTCTGCAGTTTCATTTACTACTATGTTAGTAGTATGATTTATGATATTGTGATGCATGAGTAGGTGGAGGTCTATCCACGTTTGCCTTCTTGTTGTGTGGCAATAGCATGCCTTTCTTATATGCTTCGAGATGCTATGTTGTTACTGCGCTTTAATGACATGCTTTTGTGTTTATGTGGAGATGTGCAACATATGCTTTTGATTTTCATCTATGTAAGTAGATTTTCTTTCTGGTAGTTGAATTCCTTGTCATATGCATGACTTTCAGGTTTGGTTTTCCCATTTGTTTCCCTTGGTCGCACGTAGTCTGTATGCGGGTTTCCACAATGGTTTTGTGCTGGTTCGTGTTAGGGACTTCACAAGGAGTGAGTCTCTTCCCTCCGTTGCGTTGTGCACTGTTTTGGGGTTGGTTGGTCCATGAGGATCATCGTTGTTGTCTTGAGTCCTTGGTGAGGATTTGATAGATTTTGGTTGACTTACTTCCATGTAGGGGGTGAAGTCGTTGACTTTGTTGTCTTTTATTTCAAAGATGGAGTCGTGGTGTTGTCCTTTTTAGGACTGGTGGTCCCCTTTCTTTCGTGTCTTCCCTTGGGGAGTTCCTGCCGTAGTTGTTGATGGTTGTGGTGCGTAAGTGAGTTGATTGGTGTGAGATCATTTTACGGAAACTTATGTCCATATCTTTGAGGATTATTTGATTTGTGAGGTGAGCTCGATGCTCTTTTGAGAATGTCTTTTGGAGACTTGTTCCAGTTTTGGAGGCATGGATGTGGTTGACTCTTAGGAGGAGTTTTGGAGGATCGTTGTTGGATATGGCTTGTTTGTGGAGTTTTCTAGTCCTAGTTATGACAAGGCATGGCCTTGAGGAATCGTAGTTCCAGTGGTTGTTTATAGATGGATCAAAATTGAGGAATTTTGATTTAGCTTGGTGTTGTCAAGTACGATTTTGAGAGACTCGTTCTATGACCTTGGTTGTCAAGATTTTGATGTGTGTGCCACTTCGTGGACTTGTATTTTGAGGATCTAGTTATCCGTGATAGGGATTTTGATCCGATGTTTGATTACGGTGAGTAGTCTTATAGTTGATCTATTTTAGGATGATATCTGGGATTTTGGAGATGCTGTTTTGCTTGTCAGACTTTGGATTCGTAATTGATGTTGTTGATAATAGTGTTTTGAGATGTTAAAATTGTTGGTCCTTTTGTATTGAGGATTTAAGGCCTTAAGCGTAGCGGTGCCTATAGCATTATTGTCAGAGTTTTGGGATTGGCCAGGATGGTCCGGCCGGACATCTTTGGTCCATATCTCAACTCTCACAAAATGTTGGTTTCCGTAGTGCTTTTGGTAGTGATCATTTTTGACATTGAAGTCATTTATATCGAGAAGTTTCATGGGTAGACCTAGTGGGGGCAGGTTATGAATTGGTGCCTTATACTGTCATGCTACCGTACAAGTTGTGTGCTGTGGGCGGGTGCTAGTTACTGTCGATGCTACCTTACTGACGAGTAAGTGTGGGCGGACACTAGGAATTGTCATTGCTACCACACATTTAAGTACGTCGTGGGCGGGTTCTGGTCGCTATTCGTACTGCCATGTCGTCTTTGTTTAATACTTTGATTTGATTCATGGATATCTTGGAGTTCTGTTGGTGGTTGTTTTTGGTTCCTTATGATGGTTCGTCAGGAGGGGTACTTTCGATTATTGTCTTCCGTTCCCTCGTCTGGCCTTAAGTTCTGTGTGTGAGTTTCGACTTGTGGTGTGGCCATGTGATCACTTTTTTTTTGAGGGGTTGTCCTGTCGTGAGCACGTGGGTGCGAATAACATGGGGTTGTACATTGTCTTCAGTTTTGGGATTGCTTTCATAGCATGTTATGAGGGATACTCAGAGATGTACTCCGTAGTTATCCTGGTTTCGCCTTTTTGTTTTATTGGGGCTAGATTTTGGGGAAGAAATTCCTTTAAGGTGGGACGGTTGTAATGACCCGGTCATTTTTCTTCCTTTTCTTTTTCTCAGATTTTAACGAATATTTTTTTTTCCGTTGTTTTTTCCTTCTTGGGTTCGGTTTTTCATCACTTGATGTCGTCTCGAGTGCTCTGGAATGATTTCCGAGACTCTTTTCCTTGGATTGACAACTTCCTTTGGGGATTGTGTCATTTCCATATTTTATTTTTCCGAACACTATTCACATTTTGCCTTTTTCTCGTTTATCCTTTTTCCTTACACAACCTCACTTTTTGTGCTCAGATTTGATTCCGGTTTTGCATGCATTCATGATATTTGATTTCCATGATAGTGGTATTTTTACTTTTCTAGAAAAGCATGTTGATTGCTTACTTCTTTCATAAAGGGGCATTAATGCATACTTTAGTGTAATTATTCTTAACTTGTGGGGTTTTAGTGTAATTAAATAAAGTAATTATTTTTCATCTTAGGGACCATTTTACAATTAAATTTGAAAGATATTTTCAAAAAGGACCTTTTTGCAATTTTAAAAAAGTGTGACAAGTGTCACACTCTCATTGGTCCACTTATTGACATTTGTGTGGAAACACTTTAATGCATTAGATGATGACATTTGGAGGGTGAGGATTCACCCACTTTTTAGCCTAGGATTGGTGCACTTGTTGGCTTGGATGATTGACAAGTGTAGGTGTGGGATTAAGCCTAGGAAAGAGCCATGGATTGGTGACAAGTGTAGGTTCACAATTTAGTCTTGCAAATATCTTTGGGCCACTTTGGGATTATGGTTTTAAAGGAGGTTTTTTGTGCAATTGACCATAGATGTGTGTGTTGACCATAGTGTAAGAGCACATAGTGAGTGGAGGATTTCTATTTCCTCCACTCACACTTAACCACATTATTTCATTCTCTTCCTTACAAGAAAACCCTAGCCTCCATGGATGGAGCTTAAAGCCTTAGGCATTGACCTTGATATTTGAGGCCCTTCCACTTACTTTAGACCATAAAACTTGGATACTTTTTGTTCCCCTCATCCTCCTCTTCAAAACCCTTGAAGGATCTAGCCTAACTCCTAGTTTTGCTTTGGTATCTAGAGATTCAATTCTCTAGTGAGGTATTGATCTATTATTTTGAAGTATTTATATGTCATTATTGAGTATTTTACACGCATGGAAGAGAAGGACTTGTATTTTGCCCTTAAACTGTTTTAACTTAAAATTAATCTTGTCAAATTAAGTATAGAATATGAAAATATACTCAATTATCTTTCATTTAGTTTTGGTTTCATGTAATTTGGATTTAAAATGAATTAGTTATGAATTTTTGAAGTTACAAGCTAGTTGCTGGAAATTTGAAGCTTTTCCTTTTTGGTCAGGAAATGAATTTTTATCTGGAGCTGTGATGCTTCAATTACCTTGAAATTTTTACTGGAACTTCCCCCATGGGTTTTACACTAATCAGAATTTTTTCATGATTTTAGAGAATTTCTAAATTTTTTTAAAAATCCGAAACTATATGCTGTCCATGTTTTTATTGCAGCTGGAAAACATATTTTTAGATGATTTATTTCACTAACCTTTTGACATTGGATCATGGCTTAAATTTTCAGTTTTACACTCTCATATGTTTACTTCCAAAATAAATTAGGTTTGCCCAATTTGGATGTCAAATGAATTTTTCATGAATTTTCAAAGTTGGAAGCTACAGGCTGAAAATGTGTTTTCTGGGCAGAATTTGTTCCAAAGTTGTGGGTCAAAAATGTTTCAATTGGGAAAATATTTTGTTAAACTAAATTAATATAATCAAATTACAGTATTTAAGCTTTCATTGGGCTTTGGATTCATTCAATTTGGGTTAGAATTGAATTTTTTATGAATTTTACAAGTTGAAGGTAGCAAGCTGAAAAATCTGTTTTGCGGACCGAAAATTTGGGGCGATTTCATTTCGGTGGTAATTGGGATTTTCATTCCAATTGAGGTAGGGAATGTTTTAGGATTATTTGTGTGTTGTATTGTGTGTTTACCATGATTATACAACATATATGTATGCCTTGTATCAAATCTAGAAAGTTAGTAATTTTTATTTCTTTGTATAAGATTTAAAATTTATGATGATGTATAACTTTGATTTGAATTGTAACATGCTGGGAAATTATGCTTAGATATGTTAGTTAACATGTATTAAATTTGGATCATTTGATTAAGAATTATAACTTTTATTTAATATTTATCTTTAGTGAAAGTTTAATTCACATGGTTGTATCAAGCATTAAATCAAGTTGTAATGTGGTATTTAAATAGGCCTTGGCATGTTCTCTAACATAGATTAAATTGAAGGCATTTGGAATTGTTTAAAAATCTGGAGGAAATTAATTAATTAGCTTGATTAATTTTATTTTAAGTATTTTAATCACTTAACTTGTCATTTGATGTTATATATATGATGACCATGACATTTCTTTCAATATATATTAAATTGAGGTTATTTGGATTAACTTGGAATTTAGAGAATTTAACTATTTATATTTAATTAAATTCTACTTTATTACTCCATGAATTTAATTGCATTTTGGAAGTTGTTTCTATATTTAAATCATGGATTTGGATTTGATGAATGTTCACTTGATTACTTTTGAGCATTGGATAACATAGTTGTTACTTTTATATTCATGAGAATATGTTTTTCCTTATTGAATATATTGTTGCTATGTGTAAGGAATTGCACACTTTGGATTTGACATCTTATATGCCATAGTAGTTGTGAATTTTGAGCATGTATTGTATAAGTTTCCAAAATTTGGATTGTGCTTGGTAAATAATTGATATCTTGTATTTGTGTTGATATATATACGTTGTTGCACAATTTGTTGATTTTGGAAACTTGGGGATGTCGTTGTTTGACTACGGCTAGGACTTGGTTCAAGTACGGGGGATTGTCCCTCTATATAGTCTAGTGCGCACATAGGGAGGTTACCCATGGGATAGTAACCCTAAAGTAACTATGTTGTCGGTCTGATCCGGCGTGACGTCCGAGTATCCACTTTGTTTGATTTCGTATTTCATTTCAAGTTGATAACTAGATGATATTGTAACTTGTTGTTCCTTATTTGATTTCCTATTTTGAGCTTAAGATGTAGCTTTGTGAAAGCATGCTTCATGCGTTGTATTGGAAGTTCCATTGTTAGTTAAATTGCATCGATATCATAATTTGTGTTTTGATGTTCAAATGTAGTTTAGGAATGACCTTATAGATTCATTTTGAACATAGACGTTGGGTGGCATGACCCACACTTGTTGTTTTCGTATTTTGGATTTCAAGTTGAAGACTTTGAGAATCTATATCTTGTTGCCTTGTATAACATGTTTCCATGTTGTTTGAATTGCATGAACAATGTGATTATGATATAAATGATCTAGGTAGCTTAGGATGCTCCCTGGGTCTCATCTTGACATAGACGTTAGGTGGCATGAGCCCCTTTAACATGTATCACCATAAGGTGATAAAATTGTAAAATGCTAGGTCGATGTATGCTCATCTCCTACGAGTAGCTTTATGTTACTCACCCCTACGATACTGGGGCATATTTCAGGTACAGGACTCGGGATTTGAAGATTCCATTGCTCCTTGGATGGCTTACAGTTTCTAAGTTTCTATTTTATGCAAGTGTTAGCATAAAATGCCTCTTTGTAGCCCTATTTGTTTAAACTTGTATTCGTTGATTCATATATGTAAGGTGTACGTAAGTGCACTCTTTTCAATATATTTAACATGTATGAGATGAGGCCGGAGGCCAATCACATGTATCTCGTTTTCTATGCACTTTTGTTTTCAAAGTTTATTATGAAAATATTGGAAAAAGTTAAGTTATTGCTTCATAACTTTCGCATCGGGTGTTGGAATTTCATATCTTTTCTGCCTGGACTCAGAATCAAACGATTCTTAAGTCTAATTTTGTTCATTTTTCGTTATCCTTCCAATGGTGTGCACGGTGGCACCCTTTTCAGTGAGAAATGACCATTTTGCCCTTAGTTCATCTCTTTTCGGGTTAGGCATTCTTGCTTCATTTGCTTGGCTTATTTGAGTTCCGTGGCTTCATGGAGAGTCATTTTGGGGCCTTAGGGATGACATACATCTCTTGAGGTCATTTAGCTTCTTCCGCTTCCGCATTTCGGGTCCGTTATCGGGTCAACTTTCGGTTCATCACTAACGCACCGGGTTGAGAAATTCGGGTCGTTAAAGAGAAAGTGGCAGCCATGGCTACTAGGAGATCCGGCCAAGAGAGGTGGGGAAGATGACCAAAATCTGATTTTTCACTTTAGGGCATCCTATTTATAGTAAGTCTCAAAAACTACCCCGAAAGGGCCCCGCCGGGTCTGGAAAAGTGGATTTTGAGCAAACGCGCTCAAACGGCAAAACTCCGTGAACAAAAAAGATTCAAAATGAGAAAATATGAACAATGGAAGAAACGACGTTGAAAACTGAGTCCCAAGCAGAAAGTTATGCCCTGAACAAGTTCAGCTGCAACTGGGTCCAGAAACTCTGAAACTAGAGAAAAATGACCAGATGGAAATTCTATGAATTTACAAGTCAACAAAAAGTGAAAATGAATCCCGTACGAGGATCCAGGCTCCAGACGAGACATTTTTGCAATAACTTTCGTTAATTGCACAATGGCCCTACAAAAAGGGTTCACTGCGAAATTGCCCCAGAATGAAAATATCTTCCAAAAGATATTTTCTTAGATGCCCCTGAAATAAAATATCTTCAAAAGATATTTACGAAAAATACCCCAAGAAATGAAAAAGATTCTAAAGAATTGTGCATCCATGCCCCTGTAGGCATCGGGAGCAACCAGAGTACTTTTTTGCAAAAGTAAAGATACGTATTTCGAGGAAACCACTCAAGATGAAGGCACGTGAAGTCAAAAACCAACTCCGAACATGAGAAGTGAGGTTGTACCAAAAACTGACAAACGGAGATAAGAGGAAATAGGGAAAATGACAGAATAGGGAAAAGACGAAATAGCGCATAGTGTCCGAAAAACGAAAAATGCGAAAATGACTCGGTGCTCAAAGGAAGTTGTTAATTCACATGAAAGAGTCTCAGAAACCAATTCCGAGCACTCAAGATGACACTAAGCGACATGAAACAGAGCTCAGAAAAGAAAATTAAACGAAAAAAATTCATTCGTAAAATTTCAAGAGAACTGTGTTCCATCCAAGTCTGTTTCGAGAACGCCATATGAGCTGTGGTTTGGACAGAAACCTAGTTTAAATCACATGCATATATGGGAGGTGTCCAGCACACGTGCATAAGAAACAGGCAGACAAGTTGGAAGCAAGATCAGATACATGCTTATTTGTTGGCTATCCTAAGGGCATTAGAGGTGGATTATTTTATGATCCCGGGGACAATAAGGTTATTATCAATACTCATGCTGTTTACCTGGAGGAGGATTATATTATGAACCACAGACCTAATAGCCAAATAGTGTTAGAGGAGATGGTTAGCATATCAGATATACCCCCTATGGACACACCTAATATAAATAATGAGAATGATGAGACACAGGAAGTCCCTGCTGAATTACCATCATCTAGTGCATCGATTCCTGCACCGATCCTTCGTGTAGTGGGAGGACTATCATCCGACCCGACAAACTCACTCTTTTGGGTGAGGTCTATGAGGTCGTCCCCGATAAGCATGAGTCGGACCCAGTAAGCTATGCGGAAACATTGACCGATATAGATATGAAATCAGAGTTGGAATCTATATATTCTAACAAAGTCAAGGAAATTGTAGAACTTCCTAATGGGGTTCAGCCCATTGGTTGTAAGTAGATCTACAAACGAAAGAGAGGAATGGATGGGAATGTTGAGACATTTAAAGCTAGACTAGTTGCCAAAGGCTTCACTCAACGTGAAGGTATTGATTATGAGGATACATTCTCACTAGTTGCAATGCTTAAATCTATTCGCATTCTTTTGGCCATTTGTGCTCATTATGATTATGAGATATGGCAGATGGATGTTAAGACGGCATTTTTAAATGGTCATCTTAAACAAGACATCTATATGAGGCAACCAGACGGTTTCGTGGTTAAAGGTCGTGAGGACTGTATGTGTAAGTTAAATACGTTTATTTATGGACTTAAGCAAGCTTCATGCACATGGAACATTTGTTTTGATCAGGCAGTCAAATTATTTGGCTTTGAACAAAAAGTGTTTGAACCTTGCGTTTATAAGAAAAAACAGGGTAATGTCATCATGATTCTCGTTTTTTATGTTGATGACATCTTACTCATTGGTAATGATGTAGAGGCTTTGTCATCAGTTAAAAGGTGGTTTTTCAATAATTTGAGATGAAAGATCTTGGAGAAGCAAGCTATATTCTTGGGATCAAGCTTTTGCGTGATCGGGTTAAAAAGAAAATAGGCTTGTCTCAAGAATCTTATATTGACAAAGTTCTGACCAGGTTTCGAATGAAAAACTCTAAGAAAGGGTTTTTACCATTTAGACATGGATTGGCTCTTTCTAATGACCAGTCTCCCAAGATTGATAAGGAAATTGAGCAAATGAGGCGGATACCATATGCTTCGGCAGTTGGTAGTCTCATGTATGCCATGGTCTATACCAGACCAGACATCTGTTACTCTGTAGGGATTGTCAGTAAATATCAGTCCAATCCTAGACTTAATCATTGGTCAACTGTGAAGAATATCTTAAAATACCTTAGAAGAACTAAGAGTCTCATGCTCATTTATGGAGGTGATGATCTGGTTCCAATCGGATATACGGATTCTGATTTCCAATCGGATCCAGATGCCAAGAGATCTACATCTGGATATATGTTCAAACTCAATGGAGGGGCAATTAGTTGGAAGAGTGTAAAGCAGGGTTGTACTACTGACTCAACCATAGAAGCAGAATACATTGCAGCCTCTGAGGTAGCAAAAGAAGCTGTTTGGTTGAGGAACTTTCTAATTGAACTGGAGGTTATAGAGCATATAGATCGGCCTATGACGCTTCATTGTGACAATAGTGCGACTATAGCCCAAACCAAGGACCCAAAATTTCATAAAGGAATAAGACACATTCAGAGGAAACGTCATGTGGTTCGTGATATAGTAAAGCGAGGAGATATACTTGTGGCCAAGATTGCATCGGAACACAACCTTGCTGATCCATTCACAAAGGCTTTACCGATCAAGATGTTTGATCGTCATATGGAAAACATTAGAGTTAGATGTGATTCGAATTGGCTATAAAGGCAAGTGGGAGCTGTTAGGATATGTGTGCCCTAGCATAGCAAATTCTTATTTGGATTGTAAAAGTCATGGTTCCTTATCTAAATATTATTATTAAGGCATTATACAATTGGTGAATGAAATGTATTATTTCGATTCATTATAGAACTGATTAAGTCCACTTGATTACAAGATATATTTATATATGTATGTAATGGAAATTAATACTAAGTTATAAATTAGTAATCATAAATGGTTCTAAATCGGTAATTATGGATGGACATTTAATTAATTAAGACTTGAACCGAGTCTACGATAGGTTGAGATATATTGCAAGAGTCGTCGTATGCAATTGCTCTCGATCACAGTCATGACTTTTGACTTTCAAGCATGAGAGAAGTATATACTCTTTTATTAATTAATAATTATTTTGATTTGTCCAGTGAATACTTCGGGATCCTTAGATCGGCACTTTAAGTAGTTATGTAATTAATAGTTAGAGAGTTATATTCTCAATAATTGCATCAGTGTTATTTGTATTTATTTTGTATTGATTATGGTTGATCACAAATTAAATTCGAAGGCCTTCGTATACTTTAGACAAAATGTTTCTATATATATTTTTTTAGTAAATTATTATTTTTGTCAAACAAATATTTTACTGTGATCAAACCAGTAATAATCAAGTTACAAAATAATTATATTAATTATGTTGTCGGATTGATGGCTTTATTATCCGATAAATAATTATGCATAGAGGGTCAAAGTGCAACATTGACTTAGAGGTTATTTACTATTTAATTGGAGAGCAATTAATTTCTTTTAGTAGAGTAAAAATTAATTTATTAATTAATTGAATTGGGTCCATGGTTTGATGGACCAGACCATTTTTAATTTATAGTAACCATGAAAATAGTAAATTCAAAGGATTCTCACTCATAACCCAAGTTGATATTGGAGTCCTATTAGAATTGAGATATTTGAGTTAGAGATGGAGAATGATTTATTATTTCTTTTTTTAATTTTTATTTTGCCTATATATACATAGGTCCATGTATATTTTAAAGGTGACTTTTAGAAGAAGAAAAAGAAATATATTTTCTCTCTCTAAATTTTAGGGTTTGCTATCTCTTCTAAAGGAGGCTACCACAAGCCTTGACTCTAAGGACATTCATCGAGCCATATTGGTGATTTTTAAAAAGGTCTACAATAAGTGAGAACATTCACTTTAGATGAAAGATTTAAAGGTTTACTCAGACTTTTGATGTAAGTATTCAAACTGTTAATTGAATGATACATCATCTTTTATTTTTGTATAAAACTCGTCTCTATGTGATGAATCAAGGTTTATGTATGAAAATCCCTTAAAAGTTTTTTTAAAACTTGTACATTTCCCAACAGTTTTAACATTGGATCTGATCCGATCTGAAGTTCATTAAGAGTTTAAATTATAATTATGAATCCAAATGCAAAAACAATTTAATATGAATCTTTTTTAAAACACCCTTTAAAAGAATACCAGTCCAACTTATTTATGAAATAAATGGAGTTTTTATTTGAGATTCAACTGAAATCAATTACATTTATCTTTATTTCCCATTTAAATTATATGTACTCGATATGACCACACTGATCATATGATTCAATTAAAATTCAAATATGAATCATGACGTTAGAATGTGGAATTTGGCTTCAATTTACATGAACCTGCTCCATTTCCAAGTCCAAATTGTTCTCTAATGAAAATATACGAATACGGAAAGAAAAAAAAAAAAAAAAAAAATAGAAATTAATGAATTGAGCTAAACATTAAATTTATACATGTCATATATGATATATCCAATAATTAATTCAACCTGCCGATCAGCCAACTACTACGGACGTTGTGAAACACGTTGACGTTAACATCCCATGGAGTGTATTCATTTAGTCTCCCCACCAATCACCATATATGCCCCAGTGAACAAGTCAGGGAGTCACCATCTTCATCCCAACCCGCCCTCTCACTCTCTCTCACACACACACACACTCTCTCTCACAGACTATCTTCATCCCAACCCCCGTCTTACTCTCTCACACACACATTTTCTCTCTCTCTCACACACACACACACTCTCTCTCACAGACTATCTTCATCCCAACCCCCGTCTTACTCTCTCACACACATAAACACATGGCCCAAACAACCCCAAACCACACACAGACGGTTGCCGGCTGGGCGGCCCATGATTCCTCCGGCAAGATTACTCCTTACCTCTTCAAACGAAGGTATTAATTATTATTATTATTAGTATTATTATTATTATTATTATTTGAAAAGAGTACGTTCACCAATAATAATAGTTTAGACATTTATTTTTTATTTTTTCGTTCTAAAAGTAGATATATTTGGTAATCTAACCTTATATATAACGAACAGAGAAAACGGTATCAATGATGTGACCATTAGGATCTTGTATTGTGGGATATGCCACACCGATCTTCATTTTGTCAAGAATGATTGGGGTATCACCATGTACCCTGTCGTCCCCGGGTACGTACAAGTTTACAAATATATATATATATATATATAGTACAAAAACATGAACATATACATATGTGTTTGAAAAATAACTAATTTTAAATTTAATATGTGTTTGTCAATTATGTTAGTCATGAAATAACCGGAGTGATAACAAAGGTGGGAAGCAATGTAAAGAATTTTAAGGTAGGAGACAGGGTAGGGGTTGGATGCTTGGCCTCTTCGTGTCTGGAGTGTGAGTTCTGCCAAGACTCTCAAGAGAACTACTGCGACCAGATTCAGCTCACTTACAATGGCATTTTCTGGGATGGTAGCATCACCTATGGTGGCTACTCCAAAATGCACGTTGCTGATCACAGGTATTTTTATTTTTTATGCTTCTATCGGTAGAAAAGAAAAAAATTGGTTGAATGGTAGAAAAAAATGGATGAATTAAACAATTCTAGAGAATAAATTATGAAGTTTTTTTTTTTTTTTTGTTCGGTTTAATGAAAAAGTAGAGTTTATTATAAGACCAAAAAAAAAAGTTAATTTTTTTAATTATTTTTATCCTTTGTTTAATACAACGACTTGACTTTAATAGGTATACACCGTATACTGGGATTAGGAAGGTCACAACGGTGTTAGGTTTTTTTAATCCCATCGTCTTTGAGTCGCAATAAAATATTCTATCTGGCAGTTTTATTACTTTAAACCCGTGCTTTCTACGTTACATAAAATAATAGTTTTACGGGTCCAACATATACTTTAAAATAATTTGGGTGATTACGATTGGCAGGAGAATCTTTTTTCATTTTTTTACTATAAGGACTTTAATTAGTTTAATCCATAAAATAAATATGAAAAAAAAAAAACCTAGTTAGGGGACTATTGGTTTGATTCCAAAAAATGATCGGTCGGTCTCATTTGAAACGTCAAACTAGAAATGGGTGGATCTCATTTTTTGTGGATGGTGAAATGGTCCCGGAACATTGAAAATTTGAATTTGTGATCCATTGTTAAGTGTCAAATGGTGATTTGACGAGACAAATAAATTCCAAAATGATGTGTTTAATTTCTCTGGCCCTGCTTTGCAATGCGGGGCCCATACCATTCTCTCTCTGTACCCATCTGAAAGATATTATTCATTTGAAAAAAATTATTAGATGATTCTGATTTAATAAATCAGTTAAATCGGATTTTAAAATTAAAAAATGACTCACAAAAATATATTAATACATAAAAAAAAATGATAAATTTGACAACGATTTTTGTTCAATTATATAACTGATTTGTTGTGATAATTAATGATTGTGATATAAATTTAGAAAAATAATTTTATTATTTTGAAAAGTTATCAAGAATCTTTATTGAATAGTAGTCTATTGAGATAATTCACAAAATATCAAATGGACCAAAATCATTTAGTAATTTCTCCCCATTTGGACTTTTGCTTCTCTTTCCATGCTCTCTGGCTAGTCACTATCATTAAGCATGCATGTATGTATATATATATATATATATATATATATATAGATATATATTATTTTATTTATAAAAAATATAATTTGATTGTTCGAACTGCATTATAAAAACTTAACTATATTATTAATAAAAAAATAAAAAAATATCCGCTCAAACTTTAGGTGAGTCAGGCGGTCACCCTTGGTCAACTACATTAATCTGAATGCAAGTTGGCTGCTAGTAGTGGGTCATTATTTAATTATTACAAGTGTAGGTTCACAATTTAGTCTTGCAAATATCTTTGGGCCACTTTGGGATTATAGTTTTAAAGGAGGTTTTTTGTGCAATTGACCATAGATGTGTGTGTTGACCATAGTGTAAGAGCACATAGTGAGTGGAGGATTTCTATTTCCTCCACTCACACTTAACCACATTATTTCATTCTCTTCCTTACAAGAAAACCCTAGCCTCCATGGATGGAGCTTAAAGCCTTAGGCATTGACCTTGATATTTGAGGCCCTTCCACTTACTTTAGACCATAAAACTTGGATACTTTTTGTTCCCCTCATCCTCCTCTTCAAAACCCTTGAAGGATCTAGCCTAACTCCTAGTTTTGCTTTGGTATCTAGAGATTCAATTCTCTAGTGAGGTATTGATCTATTATTTTGAAGTATTTATATGTCATTATTGAGTATTTTACACGCATGGAAGAGAAGGACTTGTATTTTGCCCTTAAACTGTTTTAACTTAAAATTAATCTTGTCAAATTAAGTATAGAATATGAAAATATACTCAATTATCTTTCATTTAGTTTTGGTTTCATGTAATTTGGATTTAAAATGAATTAGTTATGAATTTTTGAAGTTACAAGCTAGTTGCTGGAAATTTGAAGCTTTTCCTTTTTGGTCAGGAAATGAATTTTTATCTGGAGCTGTGATGCTTCAATTACCTTGAAATTTTTACTGGAACTTCCCCCATGGGTTTTACACTAATCAGAATTTTTTCATGATTTTAGAGAATTTCTAAATTTTTTTAAAAATCCGAAACTATATGCTGTCCATGTTTTTATTGCAGCTGGAAAACATATTTTTAGATGATTTATTTCACTAACCTTTTGACATTGGATCATGGCTTAAATTTTCAGTTTTACACTCTCATATGTTTACTTCCAAAATAAATTAGGTTTGCCCAATTTGGATGTCAAATGAATTTTTCATGAATTTTCAAAGTTGGAAGCTACAGGCTGAAAATGTGTTTTCTGGGCAGAATTTGTTCCAAAGTTGTGGGTCAAAAATGTTTCAATTGGGAAAATATTTTGTTAAACTAAATTAATATAATCAAATTACAGTATTTAAGCTTTCATTGGGCTTTGGATTCATTCAATTTGGGTTAGAATTGAATTTTTTATGAATTTTACAAGTTGAAGGTAGCAAGCTGAAAAATCTGTTTTGCGGACCGAAAATTTGGGGCGATTTCATTTCGGTGGTAATTGGGATTTTCATTCCAATTGAGGTAGGGAATGTTTTAGGATTATTTGTGTGTTGTATTGTGTGTTTACCATGATTATACAACATATATGTATGCCTTGTATCAAATCTAGAAAGTTAGTAATTTTTATTTCTTTGTATAAGATTTAAAATTTATGATGATGTATAACTTTGATTTGAATTGTAACATGCTGGGAAATTATGCTTAGATATGTTAGTTAACATGTATTAAATTTGGATCATTTGATTAAGAATTACAACTTTTATTTAATATTTATCTTTAGTGAAAGTTTAATTCACATGGTTGTATCAAGCATTAAATCAAGTTGTAATGTGGTATTTAAATAGGCCTTGGCATGTTCTCTAACATAGATTAAATTGAAGGCATTTGGAATTGTTTAAAAATCTGGAGGAAATTAATTAATTAGCTTGATTAATTTTATTTTAAGTATTTTAATCACTTAACTTGTCATTTGATGTTATATATATGATGACCATGACATTTCTTTCAATATATATTAAATTGAGGTTATTTGGATTAACTTGGAATTTAGAGAATTTAACTATTTATATTTAATTAAATTCTACTTTATTACTCCATGAATTTAATTGCATTTTGGAAGTTGTTTCTATATTTAAATCATGGATTTGGATTTGATGAATGTTCACTTGATTACTTTTGAGCATTGGATAACATAGTTGTTACTTTTATATTCATGAGAATATGTTTTTCCTTATTGAATATATTGTTGCTATGTGTAAGGAATTGCACACTTTGGATTTGACATCTTATATGCCATAGTAGTTGTGAATTTTGAGCATGTATTGTATAAGTTTCCAAAATTTGGATTGTGCTTGGTAAATAATTGATATCTTGTATTTGTGTTGATATATATACGTTGTTGCACAATTTGTTGATTTTGGAAACTTGGGGATGTCGTTGTTTGACTACGGCTAGGACTTGGTTCAAGTACGGGGGATTGTCCCTCTATATAGTCTAGTGCGCACATAGGGAGGTTACCCATGGGATAGTAACCCTAAAGTAACTATGTTGTCGGTCTGATCCGGCGTGACGTCCGAGTATCCACTTTGTTTGATTTCGTATTTCATTTCAAGTTGATAACTAGATGATATTGTAACTTGTTGTTCCTTATTTGATTTCCTATTTTGAGCTTAAGATGTAGCTTTGTGAAAGCATGCTTCATGCGTTGTATTGGAAGTTCCATTGTTAGTTAAATTGCATCGATATCATAATTTGTGTTTTGATGTTCAAATGTAGTTTAGGAATGACCTTATAGATTCATTTTGAACATAGACGTTGGGTGGCATGACCCACACTTGTTGTTTTCGTATTTTGGATTTCAAGTTGAAGACTTTGAGAATCTATATCTTGTTGCCTTGTATAACATGTTTCCATGTTGTTTGAATTGCATGAACAATGTGATTATGATATAAATGATCTAGGTAGCTTAGGATGCTCCCTGGGTCTCATCTTGACATAGACGTTAGGTGGCATGAGCCCCTTTAACATGTATCACCATAAGGTGATAAAATTGTAAAATGCTAGGTCGATGTATGCTCATCTCCTACGAGTAGCTTTATGTTACTCACCCCTACGATACTGGGGCATATTTCAGGTACAGGACTCGGGATTTGAAGATTCCATTGCTCCTTGGATGGCTTACAGTTTCTAAGTTTCTATTTTATGCAAGTGTTAGCATAAAATGCCTCTTTGTAGCCCTATTTGTTTAAACTTGTATTCGTTGATTCATATATGTAAGGTGTACGTAAGTGCACTCTTTTCAATATATTTAACATGTATGAGATGAGGCCGGAGGCCAATCACATGTATCTCGTTTTCTATGCACTTTTGTTTTCAAAGTTTATTATGAAAATATTGGAAAAAGTTAAGTTATTGCTTCATAACTTTCGCATCGGGTGTTGGAATTTCATATCTTTTCTGCCTGGACTCAGAATCAAACGATTCTTAAGTCTAATTTTGTTCATTTTTCGTTATCCTTCCAATGGTGTGCACGGTGGCACCCTTTTCAGTGAGAAATGACCATTTTGCCCTTAGTTCATCTCTTTTCGGGTTAGGCATTCTTGCTTCATTTGCTTGGCTTATTTGAGTTCCGTGGCTTCATGGAGAGTCATTTTGGGGCCTTAGGGATGACATACATCTCTTGAGGTCATTTGGCTTCTTCCGCTTCCGCATTTCGGGTCCGTTATCGGGTCAACTTTCGGTCATCACTAACGCACCGGGTTGAGAAATTCGGGTCGTTAAAGAGAAAGTGGCAGCCATGGCTACTAGGAGATCCGGCCAAGAGAGGTGGGGAAGATGACCAAAATCTGATTTTTCACTTTAGGGCATCCTATTTATAGTAAGTCTCAAAAACTGCCCCGAAAGGGCCCCGCCGGGTCTGGAAAAGTGGATTTTGAGCAAACGCGCTCAAACGGCAAAACTCCGTGAACAAAAAAGATTCAAAATGAGAAAATATGAACAATGGAAGAAACGACGTTGAAAACTGAGTCCCAAGCAGAAAGTTATGCCCTGAACAAGTTCAGCTGCAACTGGGTCCAGAAACTCTGAAACTAGAGAAAAATGACCAGATGGAAATTCTATGAATTTACAAGTCAACAAAAAGTGAAAATGAATCCCGTACGAGGATCCAGGCTCCAGACGAGACATTTTTGCAATAACTTTCGTTAATTGCACAATGGCCCTATAAAAAGGGTTCACTGCGAAATTGCCCCAGAATGAAAATATCTTCCAAAAGATATTTTCTTAGATGCCCCTGAAATAAAATATCTTCAAAAGATATTTACGAAAAATACCCCAAGAAATGAAAAAGATTCTAAAGAATTGTGCATCCATGCCCCTGTAGGCATCGGGAGCAACCAGAGTACTTTTTTGCAAAAGTAAAGATACGTATTTCGAGGAAACCACTCAAGATGAAGGCACGTGAAGTCAAAAACCAACTCCGAACATGAGAAGTGAGGTTGTACCAAAAACTGACAAACGGAGATAAGAGGAAATAGGGAAAATGACAGAATAGGGAAAAGACGAAATAGCGCATAGTGTCCGAAAAACGAAAAATGCGAAAATGACTCGGTGCTCAAAGGAAGTTGTTAATTCACATGAAAGAGTCTCAGAAACCAATTCCGAGCACTCAAGATGACACTAAGCGACATGAAACAGAGCTCAGAAAAGAAAATTAAACGAAAAAAATTCATTCGTAAAATTTCAAGAGAACTGTGTTCCATCCAAGTCTGTTTCGAGAACGCCATATGAGCTGTAGTTTGGACAGAAACCTAGTTTAAATCACATGCATATATGGGAGGTGTCCAGCACACGTGCATAAGAAACAGGCAGACAAGTTGGAAGCAAGATCAGATACATGCTTATTTGTTGGCTATCCTAAGGGCATTAGAGGTGGATTATTTTATGATCCCGGGGACAATAAGGTTATTATCAATACTCATGCTGTTTACCTGGAGGAGGATTATATTATGAACCACAGACCTAATAGCCAAATAGTGTTAGAGGAGATGGTTAGCATATCAGATATACCCCCTATGGACACACCTAATATAAATAATGAGAATGATGAGACACAGGAAGTCCCTGCTGAATTACCATCATCTAGTGCATCGATTCCTGCACCGATCCTTCGCGTAGTGGGAGGACTATCATCCGACCCGACAAACTCACTCTTTTGGGTGAGGTCTATGAGGTCGTCCCCGATAAGCATGAGTCGGACCCAGTAAGCTATGCGGAAACATTGACCGATATAGATATGAAATCAGAGTTGGAATCTATATATTCTAACAAAGTCAAGGAAATTGTAGAACTTCCTAATGGGGTTCAGCCCATTGGTTGTAAGTAGATCTACAAACGAAAGAGAGGAATGGATGGGAATGTTGAGACATTTAAAGCTAGACTAGTTGCCAAAGGCTTCACTCAACGTGAAGGTATTGATTATGAGGATACATTCTCACTAGTTGCAATGCTTAAATCTATTCGCATTCTTTTGGCCATTTGTGCTCATTATGATTATGAGATATGGCAGATGGATGTTAAGACGGCATTTTTAAATAGTCATCTTAAACAAGACATCTATATGAGGCAACCAGACGGTTTCGTGGTTAAAGGTCGTGAGGACTGTATGTGTAAGTTAAATACGTTTATTTATGGACTTAAGCAAGCTTCATGCACATGGAACATTTGTTTTGATCAGGCAGTCAAATTATTTGGCTTTGAACAAAACGTGTTTGAACCTTGCGTTTATAAGAAAAAACAGGGTAATGTCATCATGATTCTCGTTTTTTATGTTGATGACATCTTACTCATTGGTAATGATGTAGAGGCTTTGTCATCAGTTAAAAGGTGGTTTTTCAATAATTTGAGATGAAAGATCTTGGAGAAGCAAGCTATATTCTTGGGATCAAGCTTTTGCGAGATCGGGTTAAAAAGAAAATAGGCTTGTCTCAAGAATCTTATATTGACAAAGTTCTGACCAGGTTTCGAATGAAAAACTCTAAGAAAGGGTTTTTACCATTTAGACATGGATTGGCTCTTTCTAATGACCAGTCTCCCAAGATTGATAAGGAAATTGAGCAAATGAGGCGGATACCATATGCTTCGGCAGTTGGTAGTCTCATGTATGCCATGGTCTATACCAGACCAGACATCTGTTACTCTGTAGGGATTGTCAGTAAATATCAGTCCAATCCTAGACTTAATCATTGGTCAACTGTGAAGAATATCTTAAAATACCTTAGAAGAACTAAGAGTCTCATGCTCATTTATGGAGGTGATGATCTGGTTCCAATCGGATATACGGATTCTGATTTCCAATCGGATCCAGATGCCAAGAGATCTACATCTGGATATATGTTCAAACTCAATGGGGGGGCAATTAGTTGGAAGAGTGTAAAGTAGGGTTGTACTACTGACTCAACCATAGAAGCAGAATACATTGCAGCCTCTGAGGTAGCAAAAGAAGCTGTTTGGTTGAGGAACTTTCTAATTGAACTGGAGGTTATAGAGCATATAGATCGGCCTATGACGCTTCATTGTGACAATAGTGCGACTATAGCCCAAACCAAGGACCCAAAATTTCATAAAGGAATAAGACACATTCAGAGGAAACGTCATGTGGTTCGTGATATAGTAAAGCGAGGAGATATACTTGTGGCCAAGATTGCATCGGAACACAACCTTGCTGATCCATTCACAAAGGCTTTACCGATCAAGATGTTTGATCGTCATATGGAAAACATTAGAGTTAGATGTGATTCGAATTGGCTATAAAGGCAAGTGGGAGCTGTTAGGATATGTGTGCCCTAGCATAGCAAATTCTTATTTGGATTGTAAAAGTCATGGTTCCTTATCTAAATATTATTATTAAGGCATTATACAATTGGTGAATGAAATGTATTATTTCGATTCATTATAGAATTGATTGAGTCCACTTGATTACAAGATATATTTATATATGTATGTAATGGAAATTAATACTAAGTTATAAATTAGTAATCATAAATGGTTCTAAATCGGTAATTATGGATGGACATTTAATTAATTAAGACTTGAACCGAGTCTACGATAGGTTGAGATATATTGCAAGAGTCGTCGTATGCAATTGCTCTCGATCACAGTCATGACTTTTGACTTTCAAGCATGAGAGAAGTATATACTCTTTTATTAATTAATAATTATTTTGATTTGTCCAGTGAATACTTCGGGATCCTTAGATCGGCACTTTAAGTAGTTATGTAATTAATAGTTAGAGAGTTATATTCTCAATAATTGCATCAGTGTTATTTGTATTTATTTTGTATTGATTATGGTTGATCACAAATTAAATTCGAAGGCCTTCGTATACTTTAGACAAAATGTTTCTATATATATTTTTTTAGTAAATTATTATTTTTGTCAAACAAATATTTTACTGTGATCAAACCAGTAATAATCAAGTTACAAAATAATTATATTAATTATGTTGTCGGATTGATGGCTTTATTATCCGATAAATAATTATGCATAGAGGGTCAAAGTGCAACATTGACTTAGAGGTTATTTACTATTTAATTGGAGAGCAATTAATTTCTTTTAGTAGAGTAAAAATTAATTTATTAATTAATTGAATTGGGTCCATGGTTTGATGGACCAGACCATTTTTAATTTATAGTAACCATGAAAATAGTAAATTCAAAGGATTCTCACTCATAACCCAAGTTGATATTGGAGTCCTATTAGAATTGAGATATTTGAGTTAGAGATGGAGAATGATTTATTATTTCTTTTTTTAATTTTTATTTTGCCTATATATACATAGGTCCATGTATATTTTAAAGGTGACTTTTAGAAGAAGAAAAAGAAATATATTTTCTCTCTCTAAATTTTAGGGTTTGCTATCTCTTCTAAAGGAGGCTACCACAAGCCTTGACTCTAAGGACATTCATCGAGCCATATTGGTGATTTTTAAAAAGATATACAATAAGTGAGAACATTCACTTTAGATGAAAGATTTAAAGGTTTAGTCAGACTTTTGATGTAAGTATTCAAACTGTTAATTGAATGATACATCATCTTTTATTTTTGTATAAAACTCGTCTCTATGTGATGAATCAAGGTTTATGTATGAAAATCCCTTAAAAGTTTTTTTAAAACTTGTACGTTTCCCAACAGTTTTAACATTGGATCTGATCCGATCTGAAGTTCATTAAGAGTTTAAATTATAATTATGAATCCAAATGCAAAAACAATTTAATATGAATCTTTTTTAAAACACCCTTTAAAAGAATACCAGTCCAACTTATTTATGAAATAAATGGAGTTTTTATTTGAGATTCAACTAAAATCAATTACATTTATCTTTATTTCCCATTTAAATTATATGTACTCGATATGACCACACTGATCATATGATTCAATTAAAATTCAAATATGAATCATGACGTTAGAATGTGGAATTTGGCTTCAATTTACATGAACCTGCTCCATTTCCAAGTCCAAATTGTTCTCTAATGAAAATATACGAATACGGAAAGAAAAAAAAAAAAAAAAATAGAAATTAATGAATTGAGCTAAACATTAAATTTATACATGTCATATATGATATATCCAATAATTAATTCAACCTGCCGATCAGCCAACTACTACGAACGTTGTGAAACACGTTGACGTTAACATCCCGTGGAGTGTATTCATTTAGTCTCCCCACCAATCACCATATATGCCCCAGTGAACAAGTCAGGGAGTCACCATCTTCATCCCAACCCGCCCTCTCACTCTCTCTCACACACACACACACTCTCTCTCACAAACTATCTTCATCCCAACCCCCGTCTTACTCTCTCACACACACATTTTCTCTCTCTCTCTCACACACACACACTCTCTCTCACAGACTATCTTCATCCCAACCCCCGTCTTACTCTCTCACACACACATTTTCTCTCACACACATAAACACATGGCCCAAACAACCCCAAACCACACACAGACGGTTGCCGGCTGGGCGGCCCATGATTCCTCCGGCAAGATTACTCCTTACCTCTTCAAACGAAGGTATTAATTATTATTATTATTAGTATTATTATTATTATTATTATTTGAAAAGAGTACGTTCACCAATAATAATAGTTTAGACATTTATTTTTTATTTTTTCGTTCTAAAAGTAGATATATTTGGTAATCTAACCTTATATATAACGAACAGAGAAAACGGTATCAATGATGTGACCATTAGGATCTTGTATTGTGGGATATGCCACACCGATCTTCATTTTGTCAAGAATGATTGGGGTATCACCATGTACCCTGTCGTCCCCGGGTACGTACAAGTTTACAAATATATATATATATATATATATATAGTACAAAAACATGAACATATACATATGTGTTTGAAAAATAACTAATTTTAAATTTAATATGTGTTTGTCAATTATGTTAGTCATGAAATAACCGGAGTGATAACAAAGGTGGGAAGCAATGTAAAGAATTTTAAGGTAGGAGACAGGGTAGGGGTTGGATGCTTGGCCTCTTCGTGTCTGGAGTGTGAGTTCTGCCAAGACTCTCAAGAGAACTACTGCGACCAGATTCAGCTCACTTACAATGGCATTTTCTGGGATGGTAGCATCACCTATGGTGGCTACTCCAAAATGCACGTTGCTGATCACAGGTATTTTTATTTTTTATGCTTCTATCGGTAGAAAAGAAAAAAATTGGTTGAATGGTAGAAAAAAATGGATGAATAAAACAATTCTAGAGAATAAATTATGAAGTTTTTTTTTTTTTTTTTGTTCGGTTTAATGAAAAAGTAGAGTTTATTATAAGACCAAAAAAAAAAGTTAATTTTTTTAACTATTTTTATCCTTTGTTTAATACAACGACTTGACTTTAATAGGTATACACCGTATACTGGGATTAGGAAGGTCACAACGGTGTTAGGTTTTTTTAATCCCATCGTCTTTGAGTCGCAATAAAATATTCTATCTGGCAGTTTTATTACTTTAAACCCGTGCTTTCTACGTTACATAAAATAATAGTTTTACGGGTCCAACATATACTTTAAAATAATTTGGGTGATTACGATTGGCAGGAGAATCTTTTTTCATTTTTTTACTATAAGGACTTTAATTAGTTTAATCCATAAAATAAATATGAAAAAAAAAAAAAACCTAGTTAGGGGACTATTGGTTTGATTCCAAAAAATGATCGGTCGGTCTCATTTGAAACGTCAAACTAGAAATGGGTGGATCTCATTTTTTGTGGATGGTGAAATGGTCCCGGGACATTGAAAATTTGAATTTGTGATCCATTGTTAAGTGTCAAATGGTGATTTGACGAGACAAATAAATTCCAAAATGATGTGTTTAATTTCTCTGGCCCTGCTTTGTAATGCGGGGCCCATACCATTCTCTCTCTGTACCCATCTGAAAGAAATTATTCATTTGAAAAAAATTATTAGATGATTCTGATTTAATAAATCAGTTAAATCGGATTTTAAAATTAAAAAATGACTCACAAAAATATATTAATACATAAAAAAAATGATAAATTTGACAACGATTTTTGTTCAATTATATAACTGATTTGTTGTGATAATTAATGATTGTGATATAAATTTAGAAAAATAATTTTATTATTTTGAAAAGTTATCAAGAATCTTTATTGAATAGTAGTCTATTGAGATAATTCACAAAATATCGAATGGACCAAAATCATTTAGTAATTTCTCCCCATTTGGACTTTTGCTTCTCTTTCCATGCTCTCTGGCTAGTCACTATCATTAAGCATGCATGTATGTAAATATATATATATATATATATATATATATATATATATATATATATATATTATTTTATTTATAAAAAATATAATTTGATTGTTCGAACTGCATTATAAAAACTTAACTATATTATTAATAAAAAAATAAAAAAATATCCGCTCAAACTTTAGGTGAGTCAGGCGGTCACCCTTGGTCAACTACATTAATCTGAATGCAAGTTGGCTGCTAGTAGTGGGTCATTATTTAATTATTACATTAATTGCATATCACATGAAATTAAGCTAATAATTAACTAATGCGTTTTAATGTATCATAACTATTAGTATTATTAATATAACGACTGAAAGTAGTTTGCTAATCCATAAAGAAACTAGGTAGCTAGCTGTTGGTCGGTGGGTCTCAATAAATTAAGTGATAGAAAATTACTCATTTATTGTATAATTAATTAGTCCATATATACATCATATTTAATTTGAATAGAAATATTTGCATTGATTTACATCATAAAAAGTATGACAATTAACTCGTTTGATCGAAATATTTTGATTATTTAATTTTTTTTTTTTTCTCTATTTGAAATTGAACCCAAATTAAATGAAATTAATGAATTACATAAATCATCATGTCTAAAAGATTAAAAATAAAACAATGTATCAATGTGACATAAAATAACGTTCTTTTTTTGAGTTTGAGATATATATCACAAAACTACTTTATGATATATATTTTTGGAATGCAATAGAAATCCCAATTACATTCTAAAAATTACCATTAGTGGTACCGCTTAATGAAAACGGTTCATTTCTATCGAAAACTCTTTATATTTTTATATTAAAGAAAATGAAGAAATTTCATGAGCCGAGATAAAGGGAGAAAAGACCATACATTGGCTTTGGGTGATTGCCATTGGCATGGGAATCATTTTTCACTTTTTAATACAAAGACTTTAATTTGTATACTAGGATGGGACAATTGGTTTGGTTAAAAAAAATAATAATAAAAAAAAAAAGAAAAAGAAAAAGAAGAAGAAAAAAAAGAAAAAGAAAAAGAAAAAGAAAGAAAAGAAAAGAACCAGAGTTAAATTTACTCCGTATATACATCATATTTAATTTCATATCAAAGCTAATAATTAATTAATAACCTTTATTACTATTCTATTTATTGAACCTATCAAAATTATTATTATTATTTTTTAAATTAGTATTCACACATTGGTAGATGCCTCAATTGAGACTTGAACCATAACATTCTTTTGAATGGTAGAAACTTAAAGTAGCTCTTACCGTTGTGTATAATTTTTTGTATAAATTTAATGTGTCATGATGAATTTATATAAAATTTTTGAATTATTTAATTTTAGAACCAACGGTTGTTTTATACTTTTTGTGTAAAAATATATCTCCCAATAACAATCAACCATATGTCATATGAGGACCCACATAACTTTTACAAACCTACTTAATATACTGTTGATTCTTTAATGGAAAAGAAAGAGGGATGAGAAAGGAAATATGTTGATTTGACAGTTTACACAACCTTTTTACACATTGGTGATGTGGCAATAAATCTTAACAGACTGCTGGAGATGGAAAAAATTTACAGATAATAGGTGACCGTGTATATTTTACGCAAAATGATATTTTAACATACCGCGTGTTACTGGTCCATGGATTATTATTATTCGGGTAAAATACAGTAACACCCCCTGAGATTTACCAAAAGGACACACAGATGAAATTTAGCCTATTTTGGGACAAAGACACCCCTTTAAGTTTGATACACTTATCAAAGACACACCAATGGTAATGAATTGACATTTTTGCCCTTTGACTTTTAAATTGACCAATTTGCATGTTAAAATGACCTTTTTAACCTTCATAATCTATTTTTTTCCTTCTCTTCTCTCTTTCTTATCTCTTCTTGCAATACCAAAACACATATAGACACACACACACACATATATATATGTATGTATAAACAGATACAAACATATATATATCCACACACACAAGGCGGCGACGAGCGGCGACGAGCTGTCGTCAAGGAGAATAACACTGGTGAATTAGATAATGATGATGTCAACGGCGGTAGAGGTGGCGACGGTGGTTTTTAGATCTACAAATCGCGTGAACTTCACACGCCTACAATCATCTTCTTCCTTCAATACCCATTGCAGTCGCCGCCACCACAACACCCACCACCACAACCACCGCCACACAATTGGCTTCGCACCCACACCCCTCTATACCACCATCATCACCAGACCACCACCACCGACCACCACTCGTTTCAACACCATCCCACCTAAAAATTAACACCCAAAAGCCATACCTAATTTTTTTTTTGTGTTCATATACATACATATATATATATATATATATATATATATATATATATACACACACACACCACTCGTTTCATATATATATATATATATTATACTGAAGAAATTTGTTGTATAGAGAGAGAGAAAGACACAGCGTATTTTAGAGAGAGGGGGCAAGGGTAATTTAGTCATTTAATTATTTTAATATTTTATAATTATAATTAATTAAATGGTGAAGGGTAAAATTGACTTTTCAAGTGATTTGAGGCTCTATTTGGATTGTAAATTTGATAAGGGGGTGTCTTTGTCTCAAAATAGATTAACTTTTGTCTGAATATCTTTTTACCAAATAGAATAGAATGTTAGTGTACTTTACTCTTATTATTATTATTATTAATTATAACCACTTTAATTAATTTTTTAATCCATAAAGAAAGTGGCTGAGGACAATTATACGTTAGGTTGCTAAACAACTCAGCATAATGTTGGGGTTGGTGTCAAGCTGGATATTCCAAGAATTGGTTGTGGGATCTCAATAAATTACGTTGTACATACTGATCCATTTATAATAGTTCAGTACCCGTATCTATGAAGCATGCCTAAATATTCTATTTAATAATTACTGAGGAGTGCTCAGGAGTCAGGACAATCAAAATATTTTTTTAATTTAGGACTAACGTGCCCTTTTAATTTTCTATACGTATGTGTACATAGATTACGGGTGAAGTTTAAAAAAAATTCCTATATTTAAAAAAATGTATAAATAATATCCCTTGCATTTAAATTTCATTTCTGTAATATGAAAATTGAGCAAATAAGAAATTCTGACCTCCTAAAATGGCATGTGCAGATCATGTGACACCTTTATTAATGCATAATTTCTTAATTTATAATGTCATAACTGCCTTTTATACACCTTTAACTTCTTTTTTTTGTTACCTTCTTTACTATTTTTTTTCTTTCTTTTTGTTTTTTTCCGGAGGTTTTCTCACAGAAAATAATTTATTCCATACTAATAATTTTATTTTTGTTAGTTAAAAGAGATAATTTATACCATAGTGACTTTTTTTTTTTTTTTTTTTTCCTGTACAATCGAAAGAGATATTTATTCAACAAAGTTAACTATATATTTGTAATTTTTTATGAATCCTTTCAAAAGAAATAATTTATTCAATAAAGGTTATAAATTTTTTATAATTTTCTTCTTTTGATACCTTTTTTTTTTTTTTTGTTTCTTGACAAAGAGATAATTTCTTCAATAATTATAGTTTTTTGGGGGTTTTTATTTTTTATGTCAAAAGAGATATTTTTTTAATGGTTACTTTTATTTTATTTTTTGAGGCAATTTATTCAACATTAGTTATTATTTTTTTGGTCTCGTTTATTTTTTGGTCTTGTCAAAAGATATCTAAAATATTAAAAATTAGAGATAAGAAAAGAAAATCTGAAAGTATAGTTGTGTCATTTGAAAGTAATAATTATTTACCTATAAAGTTAGGGTTAGAATTGCCATTTCATTTAAGATTATAGTATAAATGTTGAAAAGTGGAATGTGAATATTGTC